ATTTACCCTTAAAAATTGAAAAATGCTACTTAAAATTTGCCTAGTACCTCACCTAGTTACACTCTAAACTCGGTATAACTCTACTAGACCCTGACCCTAGTTACTCTAGTCTAGTACTTCTACGTAGTCTACATTCATTTCATAGAGAGTTGTCTTGATACATTAATATGTGCAGTTTTTTTTATTCCGAGTCCTACACCCAACCTGCCGGCTTTAGTTTTAGCCAAGTCATTAATAGTCAAACCCTGTACAACTGATTAACTCATAACTGGTATGCCCACCATTCACATTAATTAATAAAAATAAATGATTAATAATCCATCCATACCCATTGTTAGTGGTTCTTTAATTAATAGTACTACAAATAAATAGTGTTTACCTAAAAGGACCAACAAAATTAACATTGCTAAATATGCTCTTCCCACTGAGTCACATTTCTAGCATTTTTCGGAATAACCAGCAATATACTTGTGGCATGCTTGTCAAGAATTTTGTTGTGTGTCTTTGTGTTGAGGGTATGACATGTGACAAGTGTAACTCGTACACACACAAGAACATTTAATTTAACGCAAAGTCCTAACTATTAATTAATAAAGTTTTATTCATCACACCAACACTATTAATCCATAGTGTCATTAGTACCAACACTAACACAAATAATCCAATTTGTCTCACTCTCTGAATCATTCTTGATTAAAATTGCCATTGCCAAACTTCTAATTTGGTTTTAGATTCATCTGAATCTGAGGAAGTTGAACTGTCACATTTAAAATGTTAAAGTAAAGGCTTTGAATCCCTCATTTAAAGTATAACAAATTATGATTAATTAAAACATGTACCTACATAAGAAAAATTTCTTTAGTTTTTATCAACTTATTCATAGATCCAAAGTTTTGTTCTTAAACTTAAAATCCTGATGGCTGGCATAGATTAACAAAGACTGGAGTAGTAGTAGATCAACGAAGACTGCTTATTTGTAGACTGTCTTAAAAACTTTAAAAACTGCACATTTATGATGAATTGGTCTCACTGTGTAACGTAAACATGACAATTTTTTTAGCTAGGCAAACGAGCCAGTTTCTTGGCAGTCCTTTGTGTGAGGGTGAACAGTCGTAAATAGGAAATTGATAAGCATAACTGGCTTTGGGTTCAGATGGGGGGGGGGGGATTTTTTTAACTCGAAAAATTATACAACTAAATGAACTGCTTTAGCTATCATACATTTCAGCTAAAAGAGGGGAGTTGCTTGTCTTTGTGTTGTCATTATCTAGGGCAGGCCTGCACAACATACGGGCTGCATGCATCCACTCAGTAGCCCGCGAGGTAACAAAAAACTCTTTATTCTTATTATTTTCTTAATAGCTCCCCCCCTGACCTATATTGTTTTGGCCCGCTTAAGTCCTGTCCTATTTTCTTTTGGCCCGCACAAGTTTTTTTCATAATGTATTACGGCCCACCTTACATTTTGAATTGTGCAGGCCTGGTCTAGGGTATGACTTGTAAAACTCTTACACCAGTACACAAGAATACTTGACACAAAGTCCTTCTATTTATTAATTAGTAACCTTTTATTACACTTACACTATTGATCCATATTGTCATCAGTACTAACACAAAGAATCCAATTAGTACAGTAAGTTTAGCTTAAAAACATAGCGAAGAAACTACTACACGCTAAACGGATCATTGGACTACACTGAAGTACATCTACTAATGGAATCACTCGCAAAACAACTACGTTCAGCGTTCCTACACCCTGGGTTTCCCCCGTACTACTGACCACCTGCCCTGCACACTCCTACTCCTAGCCCTAAAATTTTGTTTATAGTGTCCCTATGCCTATGCTCATAGTCCATTCCACATTCAGGCACCCTAACTCTCACAGTGACACAGCTTATGTTATTTGGGTTTTATGTATGCAGATTAAAACTACACTCAGCAATTTATATAGGCATAGGATAATGCTGAACAGCAATTTTACTTTAATACATCAGGGTATTTATAAATATTTACTATTGTTAAGTTTTAACCATTTGCTTGTCATGCCTAGGTATCACCTTAAATAAAATATAAATGCAAATTTTCAAAAAAAAATTAGTCTTCATATACGGTACCGCTAAAATAAAAATATAGTTATTCAGTTTAGTCCGTTCTTTTACATAAGTTACATAAAATTATCACAAATGCAAACTTTCCTGTGTATTGTATAACAGACTGGCCTGAAAATGCTCTCTGAGTCTTACACATTCCTGTCTGCACAAAATGAGACAAGAAAGCGGAAACAAATACAAGCTAAAAAAGTTATAAAGGGCCATTTTTTTAAACGTTGATTGGCCAGCATTAAATCGTAGTAGTTACACCTATTAAAATTTTCTCGCATTTGCTGATGGCTAATAACACAATTATTTAATTATATTGAAACAGTATAAATATTATATAGGGTCAAATAAAAAGGGGTAGATGATTAATTAATTACTGTGCCAATTTTTATTACATTTTTGTCCACCTTCCTCTCCCTTGTCATAAACTGTAAACTTTCAAGGGCCCTTTCATTAATATATCAACAATTGTTTAACACCTCCTTCCCCACTCCACCCCAATAATTCTTAAATATGGATTTTTTAATGCTTAAGATACAGAAAGAGAGGGGAGGGGCGCAAAGTTTTTTTTTTTTTTTTTTACATTCTTTTAAATCTTTATTAACAAATTTTAACTATCAACTAGAAGCTATGACTCGGTAATGACTGGAGTCAATTTTATATTGCAGAATTTATTTAAGTTAAATGGTGATAAATGCTTTTTTTTTTTTTTCATTTTGAGCAGTCAAATGTTTTTCTTTTCAAATAGCACATAGTACCTGATTAATTTATCATTGACATATTATTATTATTGGAACGTCACACCTAAATTTTGTCACATAAGAGATGCTTTGAAGAAAAAGTAAGCTTTATACTTAATGCATATTGCGTCGGGCAATATGTCCACTGATCTTTGGTCTACTAGACTATAATTGTTAATTATACTGGACATCACTTTTGGCTGACAGAATTGTCATTACTACTAGTATGTGTGTTGGTTCAAACATTACAAATGCACATGGCCTGCATGATGGCTTTTACAAGCTCAGATCATATCTGTCTCAAGAATTAGAAGTATTTTAGCTTATGTTTAAATGTGCTTTCTGATAACCATTTATAATATGAATGAGATCCTCTAATAGTAATGTCACTATCATCAATGATCAAACGTTGACAAATCAATTAAACTGGATTGAAATCTGGAAGTAAATTTAAACCAACTGGGACACTAGGTTAAAATTGTTACACTGTGACTAGATGGTAAAACAGGAATCATGCTCCACTGTAACTTATCACTAATCCATAAATCCGGCTGCTGGTTTAACTGTCCAGCAATTGCTGTTGAGTAACAGTTAAATATAGTAATACTGTTAACTTTGAAATATTTGAAAACGATTTTCTGAGACACTTATAAATATATACACATGCCCTTACTACTGGTAGTTCCTTAAATTCTTAGAACCTCTTCAGCGCTCCTATAAATAGCCCACTCATTTCGGAGGCTCGTTTTACATCTCTGTTTTCAGCACTTTAAAAAAAAGAATCCAACACTTATTCTTGCAAAAAATTTAATATAAATGTTGCAATGACTAAATGCAGTTAACTTGTAACTTGATAACTTGAATAGAAAAAGTTCTTCAAAAGACTCAATTCGATTTAATGTTCCTGGGGTATTTCTTTACCTCTTTCCCTTTGGGCCCATTTTTCTCATCAAACACAAAAACATAATGTATGAGGGACTGCAGCATCGAACTCTAACAGAAGCACCAGTTTAATTTTCCTGTCCATTCTATTGATACGTAAACATATCTTTTTCCACTATTTAAAAACAAAAACACTGGTTTTGCAGAGTTGAATAGATCCAGTCCTGTAGGGGGGGAAAAGGGGGATATAACTTAAGGCCTACTAAATGCTTGTTCTGTATTTTTTTTAAGGCAACAGGCCTACATTCTTAGAATCCCAATGATCACTTTCAATTAATATATGTTGGTTATCTATAGGCCTGATAATAAATAGATATTTTTTGCATTCCAGTAGCTGAAATACACTACTAGCCAAGCACACAGTTTTACCTACCTATATAATTCTCATCCACCTGCCTATGCATCAAATTACAATTTTTTTTACCCAGGGAGTGTAAAATCTTATCTACAGAGCAGAAAGTTTTAATTATCTTGTGTGTTCTTAAATTTAAATGATTAAAATTCAACCATAAATATTTTTTTTCTGTAGACATTTGGAATAAAAATGGACTCACTCAAAGTAGCTGTACGGCTACGACCACTTCTCCCCAAGTGAGTTACTTAAATTTCTGATAGATGTTTATATCACATGTTGTATGCACGCATTTGTATGTATAGTGTAAGATCCAAGGAAAAAAAATAATGAAAAGGAGGGGGGTGGCTGCACACAAATGGCTAACATCAAAGATGAAATTTAAAAATTACAGAATTGTGGAGTGAAGGTCAATATTAAAATTCTGTTTATGTTTAGGCAGAGAAAAATTCTCCTGTAACAAAACCTTAATACTCTGTGTATTTATTTGAAATAGTAAATATATAATTTGTCATTAAATTACTGGTAAAGTAAATGATATAATACATTTGTGATAATGTAATAACATTATTCATCTCTCACTACCATTACTTCACATTCACAGGGAAAATAAATCTTTGAAGCCTCGGTGGCATATAAATGAAAAAACCATTTCTTTGGATGGCCCAGAGTCAGATATCACATTTTCTTTTGGTAAGGTCTTCCTTTTTTACTTTTGTGTTGTTTTAATTTTTGAGATTTGGAATTGATGTAGAATAAATTCTTTATATGGTGATAAGCATATAGTGGTCACACTTAAAATATTATTAAATTAAGTCTAAGTTGTTATGCATAGAGTATAGAGCATTTTTATTGTATCAAATTTTAGATCATATCTTCGATGAGACGGCAACCAATGAGCTAGTGTATCAGGAGCTGGCGTCTGATATTGTAAAAAAAGCCATGGAGGGTTACAATGGTAAGTACTTTGTAATTGTGGTTTAACTTTGGTTATAAATTATAAATATATGAAAAAAAATTTACCCTTACAAGGCTTAGGAATGTTTTGTGATTTTTAATTTTGATAGATTCCATGATTATTTATTTATAGGAACAGTTTTCTGCTATGGGCAATCAGGGTCAGGTAAAACCTTCACTACGGATGAGCTGCGCCGTCTTGCCCTCCAAGAAGTATTGGAGTATATAGAAAACGTGAGTTAAGACTTAAATTATTTTATAGCTGTTGGCAGTTGATACCTAACTAACTTATTTTGCAATGACACCAAACTACTTATTATGAATGCATGGGCGTTCCAAAAGCAAGATTAATATGGATGCTAATTGTGTCATTAATCCAGATAATTTGTAACACATTGTTATTGATCACCTGTATTCATTTTTTATTCATAATCTGTAAAACAATATATCTGTTTACACTGGTGCTTTTCTAGCAGAAAGTCAAGTCAATTATTCTATATCAGCATTACCTAAATACTCTTGATTAGTTGCATTTTAAAGCAATGGTATTTTTTAATAAATGCTACAATACACTCAAATAGCTCAGCTTCCCCCCCCCCCCCCACCCCCCCCAACCCCTCTATCAACCGAGCAATGCCATTTTGATGATTGTAATTATCAAATTAGAAATATTCTCCAGATATTTTCTTCTTCTCAAACGTATACAAAGGAGAAATGTTTCATGGGTTGCATTGTCTAATCTTATAGTTCTTAAACACATGAAATTGTCATTGTTTGATTTTTTTTTATTTTCGTTGACTTTCATGAAAAAATACTATGCTCTTTTAATTAATGTTAAGACAATTTGATAATATCTGGCATTTCCACAAGTCTATGCTTCACTGTGTTATTTGATGGCACCAACACATTTACTTGGCTCCTGTCAATAGATATTTGAGATTCTAACATTTTCATTTGCTGGATCAATTAATTCCTGGGCATTTTTATTTTATGAGGATAACCAGTCTGCAATTGTTTATATTTGATAAAGAGCTATTACAAGGTTTCAGATACCTTGAGAAAATTTTAAAGATATAATCCTTTAGGTAGCTTTAATTTGTTTTCATTTTTTAAGCAATCATTTGGCTTATTTATAGATGTTTTATTACCCTACTTGCCAAATTTTCAAATGAAACATCTGTTGGCTAAAAAGACAACTATGCTCTCTCATAAAACTTAAGGTTAAACTGAACGAATGCAGTTGGGTATAACAGAACCCATACATAAAACCTAATTTTTGCGTTGCATTTATTTGGGAAATGTTGCTTATAGTTTATGCCTATGGGGAAATATCTTTAAGTTGATGAGTGTCCATGACTTGTGGAAGTCAAATTTTAGCAATTTTGTATCACCCAAGCTGTTTTGTTTATATCTTCCTTGTTTGTTTTCATTGGATAGCTTAAAAGCTTAATCTGTAATGCAGGTCCTGCTGTGCTGTCCTAAATCAATACTCCTTGGTTTGAATTTGTTTTTGTTAATGAATGTAAGATTAAGAACATGTCTTCTTTTGTATCTAAAATTTCATATAATGGTAACCTGTTCATATTATTAATCCTAAATTTAGTGCCCACAAAGGGAATTTCTTTTGAGGGTCAGTTATTTTGAGATCTATAATGAGAAGGTCACAGACCTGTTGCAAGATAACAAGGAGCTGACTCTAAGGGAAGATGTGGTAAGTGCTTTATGTTTTTTTTTAAAATCAAACAGTTAGTAGAATTTTCTTTTCTAAATCAGCTGAAAACAACAACTATTTGTTCTATTTCAAGATTTGACTAAGCTCCTTAGTTTAGGGAGTCAATACCCTTAAAATTATATCTTTATTAATTAATATTTTATTGTGATGATTAAAGGTGCTGATTGCTGCACTATGATAAAAATTTCAGCCAATTCAATACTTTTTTTTTTTCCTTACTAAACTAAATATGAAAAAAATAAAATTCTGTGGTTACTTCGAAAACATTTTAACAATATCGATAAATACAAAGACAATATCTGGTCAAAATTTAAAGGTATATACAAAAAAAATATTAAACTGAGTTCAATGCCTGCCTTGCCAACGGGTGGCTATTTAAGATTGTTCAGTTGTCCTAAGGTACTACAGTTAAATACCATCTCACTCCTTACTGAGTTGGATTGCAAATGCCCTGTAACCGAGGCCTTATCATTGATAAGTACAGTAATATGATGGCTATTTGGAAGCTTGTTTTGATGATTATAATTTTTTCTCACAGGATAAAAATGTTCTACTCGATGGAATGCATGAGGCATTCGTTAAAACATCCAATCAGGTTTTAGAGCTTCTAAACCAGGGCAATGGTAATGAGATGTTTTTGATTTTTTATATCAATGTCACCTTTGTCGCAATAATTATTGTACTTGCATTTTGATACTGTACCCCTTTTTCCATTATACAAGGATACATATAAATCGGTTTTAATGTGAAATAAATACATTATTTTTTTCAGAGCGCAGAAAAATTTCTGAAACTAAAATGAACGCTAGATCGTCTCGTTCACATTGTATTTTCCGCATTGTGAGTTTTTTTATTTTGAATTTAAATTATTTTTAATTATATTATTTTTGAGTATAGCTATTTTACCATATTTAAGTATAGTATATTTCTTGGTTTGTCCCTGGTATGGGGAATAATCTGGATGAGCTGGCTTAAAGTTTTTAGCAAAACATTTTTTAGTCAGACTTAAAATTTTTGAAATATCTTTATTGTTTGTTTTTGGTGCCTGCAAATTGTCATGTTTGATACCGGTAGCGAAATAATTTCCTTATAATGTTTCCTTTTTTAATATTTTAAGGTTGTTGAAAGTCGCATGCGTGGAAGCGAAGAAAACATTGACATTTCTGGTGTTCTGGTTGCAAACCTGGTGAGTGATAACTTTCTTTATGTTTTTGGGGCTGCGAGTTGCAATGTCACTTTTTTCTAAACATCTGTTTAATGAAACAGAATGAATAAAACAGGGGTTGGCAAACTACTGCCCACTACTTCTTTTTATCCAGCCTGCACAGTATGAATGGAACAAGGAAATTTGATAAAAGAATGAATGTAATCTGACCAGCACAAAAAGGACTACAATTGCTTGCTTTATGTAATATTTAGACATGAAAACAAAAGTTCGTCTAACATGTTTTAAAAACTTTGCTCTTATGGAATATAGATAAGTGAGAAATTCTATCACAGGCCACCCAAATTTTGCAAAATACATCCGCACTCCCAGTGCCGGATATATTTAATTGGCCCTCTTTTAAAAAAAAAAAGTTTAAAAGTTTAGGGACTGTAAATGAATGGCTTGAAAAGTTTGTTTTAAAAAAATAAGTTTATGTCAGTAATGAGACATTCTCTTTAATTCTGTTATGAAGCTAATGTGTTAGCCTGTTGTCTGGCAAAAATTTTTTTATTGGAACTAATTTATGAGAGTATACATATATTATTTATTTTTTTCCTTTTCAGTATCTTGTGGATTTAGCGGGCAGCGAGAAGGCGTCCGCTAACACAGGGGATAGGTTTCGTGAGGGAGTCCTTATAAATAAATCATTGTTGACATTGTCTCTTGTCATTAGACAGTTAGCTGAAGACTCAAAGTAAGTATCTAAGAGTTATTATAAATATAGGAGCAGTCTAACTTGTTCAAACTACTCTAATACTAATTGCATTACCAGAAAAAAAATTATCTTAATTGATTTTTAACGTTCTTTTATTGCGTATCTAGTTTTTATTTTTTTATGTGATATGATCTTTTAAGTAGTCTAGTAAGTTATTCTATAAATTAATTTGTTTTAATTCATTACTAAGAGTAAGACAATTTATGCTCAAAATTTTTAGATTATCAAGACACAGACAAACTGTGTCAATAAAACGGTATAGTTACAACCTTTAATTAAAAGACAAAATAAACCTGTGGTTGTGAGATGACAGTTCTGGGGTAGCCAGGAGCAGTGATTTAATAGCAAAGTAGCCATTGACTTTAAAGTCATGACATCAATTTTTACATATTTTTTATAAAGTTTCAACATATTTTTTCAGTTAATGTAATAGGTCACAAGTTAATTTTCCAAGATCTAAAATTCTCATAGTAATTTTAATTAACAAATCAGAGATGTCTGTTTTTTTTGTGTTTTTTTTTTTCAATTTTAAAAAGAAATATTTTTCTTTGGTAAAATAATTTTTAAGGGAGCGAGGCTTGTAAACAGAAGATTGGTAGGGGTGCTGACAACATAATTGTTTGAAAAACACTGCTTATATGCTTCAGATAGAAGGTATACTCTACTCCCCCCCCCCCCCCCCCCTTTTTTCTTTTTCCAATCAGTCAACATATCAGCTATAGGGACTCGAAACTCACCAGAATTCTTCAAAATGCCCTAGGCGGTAACTCTAAAACAGCAATATTATGTACCGTGTCACCAGGGAATGTTGAGGAAACCCAGTCAACCCTAAGGGTAACTGCTTAGGCTTGCTCACTTTTTTTTTTTTTTTATCAGCATTCAATTTCTTCGTAAAAAGACTGCAAAATTTTTAAATATGTAATAATTTGAGCTAATACTAAGTTTTAAATTATGTGCTAAGAGATGTTTAATAGAAATTTAACATCCCGTGGCTCGTATTTGAAGGGGAATTTGTTCTTGACTCTGATTGCAGTTCGGCCAGAGCGCTAAAAGGGTGCTGAATAAACCGCTCCTGAATGAAGTTGTTACAGATAAAGCTTTACTCAAGAGGCACCAAAAAGAAATTGAGACATTGAAGGCCACAATATTAAAGGTGGGACACAAAACTTGTTACGATTTCCGTTACTTAACCATTTTTTTTAATTTCATCCCAAAAATAATTAATTTTTTTAGGGGCTTTTTTTTTTCAGTGCAATTTTGAAAAATTAAGAGAAGAAACTTTTTTGTGAACCAAAAAAAATTCAGATGAGCTTTTTCTGTATTTCCAGTTGGAGTCTGAACATTCTCAGCAGAGCAAATTGAAAATGGAGGCATTGAGGCTTGAGCAGAAGAACATGCTTGAGATGTTCAGCAGCCGGCTCTGTGTCTCCTCCAATGCAACAGATAGGTCATTGAAAGTAAGACTCCATCAGACCTTATCCTTTGCATTGTTCAGATGTGGATGTAGTGTTGGGTGTTACACCTGATTTACAGCATACAAATTAAGACCGCAGTATGTCTATACTGCACATTGTTCATGTGTGGGTGTAGTGTGGGTAAATGGTAAGGCTGTTTTGGGCAAGGCCATGAAAGATTAGATCCTGCAACACAGACAAAAATACTTTTCAGTTTAAAGTTAAATGTGGGGGGGGGGCGTTAGTCAACTTTACGTAAAAATCATGTTGTTTTTGGGTTTTTTTTCTCCCCGACTTTCTCAAAAGACCATATTTGGTTACAATAACCTCTTATAGACACAATCACAAAATAAAATGTGTTAAAAAAATTATTGTTCTAATTACACAATTTGTCCTAATTTAATCTGCACTACTGTGGCTTGCATGACTTGGCGCCGTCCTGAAAGCGCTCACGATGCCTTATGTACCAAATAGACAACTCCGATCATCCGATAGTGGGGGAACTCTCGATACCACGTGTTTGCCTTGAGACTTATGGAGGGCGCACGTTCGCATTTGCTGGCCCAACAATTTGGAACACAATTCCTGTCCCTCTCAGAAGCAGCCAGACACTGGAGTCTTTCAAAACCGATTTGAAAACATATCTTTTTCGCAAACACCTGTTGGGGTGAATTTGTCTACCATCTTTTCCAGCTAACAGATAATAGTTAGCTTTGTATGAGATAATACATAGATGTAAAGAGGCCTGTGTTGTTTATGGTTGCAAGGGATGAAAGTCTTAGAATGTGTATTCTCGTATGTATTTTTTGTAATGTTGTGTTTTGTATTTCAATGTGACAAAAAGTAGATTTTTTCATTTCTTTTTGAACATTGATGACTTTGTACCACGCTTCGAGCCTTTGGGGATGAAGCGTGATTTTCAAATAAGCCTTATTATTATTATGTATCTAACCATTTCAGGACACGTCATAGTCATTTAAAAACTTTTTACAACCACATGTAGGAAATAACCAGACAAACTTCAAGGAGACTTATAACTTATAACTTCCTGGTGACCAATGGTCTCACTAATAACATGGTCATATTATTCTGTCAGGTACCTAAAAGAAATGCACTTGTAGAAAATGTAACTCTATTAGTAAAATAGCTACACGCACTTGGAATAACTGGAGGATATCCCCACCTCATCTTCTGTAAAAGGTGGGAGTGTTATCCCCACCTCATCCTTTTTTAAAGGTGACAAATAGCTAAGTTTGCCTGGTGTCCCGATGTACCTCTGATGTACTGTTCTTCATGCACAGTTTGTCAGTGCATTATTCAGTCAATTACATTGAATTAATTAATATAGCCAGTTGTTCGACTTTATTTTTTATTTATTTGTAATATGCTTGGCTAATTTCTTCATTCATCATTTCCACTCAATTGTAATATACTTGGTTAATTTCCTCAATCATTTCTACTCTTTGTAATAAATTTGTCTCATTTCTTCAACATCCTTTCCACTCCAGACAAGGAGACAGACCGTCTGCGTTACCCAGATTTCCAGACGTCAAGGTAAGCAAGTTTTTTAATGATCAAGGTTAGAATTAAACTAATTTTAAACTTAATAATTTCATTGAATGAACACACATGAAAGACCTCATTGAAATGACACTTATGCGACTAACCTTGTTTTTTGCTGATTGGTTTGAAAGAATATGAATTATATTTGTTGTAAAATTGTCACATTTTGTGAGGGTTTTACCAGAGCCTAATGAGGGCCTTAACTCGAACCGCTTCCAAAGAATGGCTTGATCTCATTTTTCTGACTTCTCAGATCAGTGGCAGAAAAATGCTTCTCACTCTCACATAACTCTTTCATTAGGAGTGGTTGGTTTTGCCACAAGATTATTGAGTAAATGCTTCTGTTTGATGATGCGTACTGATGAAATTTTTAAGGGTGTTTTGAATCATTAAACTTAAGATGATGAAATTGTGCCTATTATAATGTTTCAGATGCATTGGGTTTGAAAGTTTCACGCTTCTCACCAATTAAATTGCCTGTACCAGTGATTGAGGAAGATGAACCGCTTCCTGACGGGTAAGGACTGTTTAAGAAATTTGTGCACTGTTCCTGGGGCATGTGTGTACTGTTGCCGGGGCATGTGTTTACTGTCTAATGGCACAGTGACTGACCTCACTTTTGTTTTATTTTGGACTTATGTTTCACCAACATTTGGACACCTAGTATGGTGGACATTTAAATTTTACTATTTTGATCATTTATATAAGAATGAGCTATGCTGACATAACGCTAAAGAACCAAAAATATTTAGATACGTTCGTATTCTTAAAAACAAACATAGTTATTTTCTATTATTTTTCGGAAATCAAATAAATTGAAGTGCGCAAAAAAAACATAAATTCGCTTTTATTTAGTAAAAGATTAAGTATTATTATTATAAATTACAAATACATTTAAAATAACAACTAAGGAGCTATTTTAAGCATTTTATCTGAATCTAAAAGTTATGAACACAAAATTTAATTGAAAAATTATGATCTAAGAATTACATCGTAATCACATTTATCGGGAAAACCCAAACATCAGTTGTTTTTAGTGTGTTAATATTGCGAAATAAAATTTAATTTAATTTGTTCAGTTGTTTTTAGTGTGTTGTTAATATTGCGAAATAAAATTTAATTTAATTTGTTCTAAATAAACATGCAAATGACGTCATAGCACAGCACGAATTGTCTATGTCGGCTAAAACTCTTAAATTTCTTAATTTTTTAATAACCACACGTGACAAAACTGAGAATGTATTTCCCCCTTCTTAAAAGTAAAATTAATAAATACAATTGATTGCTTTTTAAATTGTTAATAAAACACACACAAATTTTAGCTTTGTATTTTTAACATTTAATAAGTTTTACCTTTTTTTAATTCCAAAAATATACTTTTATTAAATTTATAACGTAATAAAATTTAACCTTTAAATATACTTCTAATAAGAAACTGCTGTTTAAGTCAATCGGTCATAGCATTCCCTAATCTACTTATAACTCATCCAAGTAAGAACAAATAATAAGTGCAAATTGTTAGTTTTGGTATGGAAGGGACTACAATCCAGTGGAAGATTTCATTAATTTCATTTCAATCTGGAAGTGTGGGGTTGGTTATTTTGCCCCAGGCAGCACAACGTACGTCTCGAAATAAGCAATGAATTTGATAAATAATTAACCTTTCTTGGGTACATACATATCGGAGGTAGGAAATAGGATGTGAACATTTTACGTGTATGACAATATGTTTAAATCCTATGGTATTACTTTGAAAAAAGAGATGTTACATTCTCTTTTTACAAATAAACATATCTTTACCAATTTAGAAAATCGATTGCATTAACAAAACGTTAATGCATTTTTTAAAGTATACCCATAAATATCAATACCCGATCATTTAACACACTTGAAAATTTAATTTTGAAAAATTGAAATGGGTTGATATTTTCTTTTTAAAAAAATGAAAATATATTTTTGTTTTTGCTTTGTGAAAAGTACAGTGGGTATGGATTTTTACGAGATTAACAATTTTTAAAAAAAGACACTCAAGTCTGTTATAGACATGAAAAACAATGCATTCATCTAGATGTAGGCAAATTTAGTTGAAATATGCTTTGGATCATCATCAAGTATGAATCCATGAAATATTGGTTGTGCTCATTTCATTTTCTTTAACGTTCATTGGAAAGATTAAAACACAGTGATGTGCGAGGACCCGTGCTATATCTTATTCATTTCACGTTAGATATTAAACTAGTAGAGAATTACTGTAGAAATATCCAGTGTTCAATAATTTGTTTTTAAAGATCTTTAATACCCTTGAAGAACTTAAAGTCTTCAAAATCATTTTATGACCACCTATTTAGATGTTGTTTGTTTTGTTGTTTTTTTCATTCTCCCCTTTTAGCCCAGAAAAGATTATCAACCATCCCATTGACTCCCCTTGCAGAAAACCTGACTGCATGTGTCTGAACCTTTCGTTTAAAGATTTTGAGAGGGAGTTGATAACAGAGAGCGCAGTTCAGGTAGGAGCGTACGAGTAATTTTCTAGTGTAAAAAGAAAGTTATCATCTAAAATAAATGTTCTGTTGACCAACTCCTGTCGGACCAGTATTTAGCTGCACTTTTGCCTGTCTGACGCACATTTGGCTGTACTCCTGCCATGTGCCCTAAACAAAGAGGCTTTTTTTTTTTTTTTAAACATAATTTTAAAAATAAGGAAGGAATGTAATCTAAATGTAATAAATTAGGTTTTTTTTCTTGAAAATTTATAAATTCAATCATGATTTCAAAGAAAGGACAGAGTACATTAGTAATCCAACCTAGGCTTGTAAATCTTGTTGTTATCATTGAAAAGAAATTTGAAACATCCATTTTTTCACTAACAAATAATGGCCTGACTTAATAATGTCTTTGAGTCATCCTCAGTGTCGTCGTTAGTACTTTTGTTCGGTTTGCTAAGATCCATGTCTTCATTTTTTGTTTGTTTATATGGAACCTCTATGGAGTGCAATAGACAGGGGCACATGTGAAATTGAGGCAATAGTAGATTTATCAAAACATTATTTACCATTGCAGACATGTTTACCCTCAAATTCCTAAAATCGTAAAATATAGTTACAACCTCGTACGATAGAGT